GATTTTATTTATTCATGAGAGACACACAGAGAGAGGCAGAGACATAGGCAGAGGGAGAAGTAGGCTCTTTGCTGGCAGCCTGATGTGGGAGTTGATCCCAGGACCCTGGGATCACAACCTGAGCAAAAAGCAAATGCTCAACCACTGAGCTACCCAGGCATCCCAGAAGAAAAAATTTTTTAAATGTTCATGTTACCCAAAGCAACCAACACATTTAGTGCAATGCCTATCAAAATACCACCAGCATTTTTCACAGAGCTAGAACAAACAATCCTAAAATCTGTGTGGAACCACAAAAGACCCCAAATAGCCAAAACAATCCTGAAAAAGAAAAAAGAAAAAAACTGGAGGCATCACAATTGCAAATTTCGAGCTATATTACAAAGCTGTAGTCATCAAGACAGTATGTATTGACACAAAAACAGACACATAAATAAATGGAACAGGATAGAAAACCCATAAATGGACCCGTAACTATATAGTCAAATAATCTTCAACAAAGCTGGAAAGAGTATTCAATGGAAAAAAGAAAGTCTCTGACAAATGGTGTTGGGAAAACTGGACAGCAACCTGCAGAAGAATGAAATTGGACCACTTTCTTAAGCCAGACACAACAAAAATAAATTCAAAATGGATGAAGACCTAAGTGTGAGACAGGAAACCTTAAAAAATCCTAGAAGAGAACACAAATAACAATCTTTTTGGCTTTAGCCATACCAGCTTCTTACTAGAAATGTCTCTAGAGGGAAAGGAAACAAAAGCAAATAATTAAACATCTATTTCTGATGAAATAAATTTAGTTTAGAAATGAATCAATTCATACTCTATTAGCTACTTATGATAAATATATAGGGAATCCAGGATCTAACTTAGTAGGGAAACCTAGAGGTATTGGCACTAAAGTCAGAAAGAAAGTGAGGATGCTCACCTTGTCCCTATTTTTAACACTATATGATGTTTTAGTTAAGACAAATGTGAATAATTAGAGGCATAAAAATTGGAAAGGAAGAAGTGAATGTCTCTATTTTTGATTATATGATAGTGTGCCTGGAATGCTTAATAAAATCAATATTAAAATGAATATTAAAAAAATAAAATGAATATAAATAATAAAAAATTTATAAGGTAACATAATAAAATCCAATGTAGAAACAATATCCTGTCAGAAGATGTAATGAAGAGAAGATCTAATATAAAATAGCAACCAAAAAAATTCAAAATAATAAGCTATAAAATTAGGAAGAAAATCTGTATATGGAAAACTATCAAACTTCCTGAAAGATATAAAAGTATATTTGAATAAGTGAGAGATCTACTTCACTCTTGGATAAGGTGACTATGTTTTTCCATCTTTTTTTTTCCTTTTTAAAGATTTTATTTTGTTTTATTAGAGAGCACACAAGCAGGAAGAAGGGGCAGAGAGAGAGCGAGAATCTCAAGCGACTCCCAGCTGAGCACAAAGCCCGGTGTAGGGCTCAGTCTTACCACCCTGAGACCATGACCTAAACTAAAACTAAGAGTTACACTCTTAAATGGCTAAGCCACCCAGGCACTCCTCTTTTTTCCCATTTCTTTAAGATTCCTCTTTTTTCCTTGACTTCTAAAGTCAAACTTTTATGTCAGTAAAAAATGTGAAATTTTTATTTTCATATGCAGTTATAAAACAATAAATTTCCCTCTTGATGAAGCTAAATCTTTATCTCACAAGTTTTAATATAAGGCATTTTTGTTCAATTCTATTTTATACCTTTCATTATATTTTCTTCTTTGACCATAATTACTTAGAAGTATGTGTTTTAGTTTCCAAAATATTTTTGTTAATGATTTCAAATTTTATTTCATAGTTGCTAGGGAATATAGTATCTGTGATTTTGATTTTGTGGTATTTAATAATTAACATATATTTATCAGATAACTATTTTCTTCAGTTAATATTCCAGGTCCTAATGATACAGTAATCAGGAAAGCACCTTACTTCTTTGTACCTAACATTCATACAGTACTTAAATTCTATTGTGAGAGATAAATTTTTTAAATTATATGTATATATTATATAAAATATATAATTATTTAAAAATATATGTAATATATATTTTTGTGTCCTCAGTGATATTCATGTTTTGGTATGGTTAGACATGATTGCAGAGTGATCTTGTTTTTGTCTTGATCATGGTCACAGAGTGATCTTGTCAGATGTCTGCTGGATATTAGGAGCTGCTTTTCTCTTTCTCAATTTTCTTATTGATTCTAATATTTTTTCATACTTCATATATCATAATGGTGTATAAGTTTCTGAATAATGTATGACATTTTAAGGTTAGGCAGTTTATATTTTGTGATTTACTGTGGCTATTGCTAGTAATGTTTTATAAACAACACAACTTCTACCATTCAGATGTATCTATGAAAAAAATATAATAGCATTTTAGATAATGATTTCATTACATCTTAGGGCTTAAATTTTGAAAGGTTATATTATTCAATATCCTGCTAAATGAGATTTTCCAAAACTTTTTAGACCTACAAATCTTTCCCTGGATTCCATAGGAATTGGTTTAATGATATATCATTTTCTCTAGTATTTAAAAAGAGCTGATTTAATGTTAAAATGCATCTTAGTGTTTATGATGTTACATACATTTTAACAAATATTTTTAAAGTTCACTCTTAATTTTAACTTTTTTAATTTAGCAAGTCACTATGCCATTTAATTTTGTATGTAAAGAAGCTCAATTTTTTTTGTCCAATTTTCAAATTTATTATATGTGATTTAATAATGAAATTTTTTTTTAATTTTAGCCATCTGACAGGTGTAAGGTGATATCTCATTGTGGTTTTGATTTGCATTTCCCTGATGATTAGTGATGTTGTGTATCTTATGTGTCTGTTGGCCATCTATATATCTTTTTTTGGAAAATGTCTATTTAGGTCTGCCCATTTTTAATCAGATTGCTGTGTTCTTTAGAAGGAATTGTATTTATTTGAGAGAGAGAGAAAGCAGCATGAGCAGAGGGAGGAGAGCTACCCATTGACCAGTTCTGGGTTTGATGCCAGGACCCTAAGATTATGACCTGAGCTGAAGGCAGATAATTAACCAACTGACAGAGCCACCCAGGCACCCCGTTATCAGATTATTTTTTGGTGTTGAGTTGTATAAATTCTTTATATATTTTGGATATTAGCCCCTTATCATATATATCTATTTGCAAAAATCTTCTCCCATTCAGTAGGTTGTATTACGTACTGAATGGGAGAATACCCATTATAGGAATACCATATAACCCAATAATTCTACCACTAGGCATTTACCCAAAGAAAACAAAAACACTAATTCAAAAAGATATATGTACCCCTGTGTTTATTGCAGTATTACTGACTGCAATAGCCAATATGGAAGCAACCTAAGTGTCCATGAATAGACAAAAGGATAAGGAAGATTTGGTATATATACACAATAGAATATTATGCAGTCATAAGGAGGAAATTGTTATATTTGTGACAGTATGGATAGACTTAGAGGGTATTATGCTAAGGGAAATTCATCAGAATAGGAAAGACAAACATGACTTTACTGACTTTACTCATATGTGGAATCTAAAATAAACAAATGAATAGACAAAAAACCAGAATCTATAAGTACAGAAAAAAAAGCTGATGGTTACCAGAGGAGAGAGAGGTAGGGAATGGGCAAAATGAGTGAAGAGGAGTAGGAGATCCAGGCTTCCAGTTATGGAATAAAGAAGTCCCAGGAATAAAAGGCACAGTATAGAGAATATACTATAATAGATTTGTATGGTGAGTGGCTACACTTGTGGTGAGCATAGCATAAGATATAGAAAATTTGAGTCACTAAGTTCTGCACCTGAAACTAACATAACATTCTGGACCAACTATACTCAAATTAAAAAATTAATTAAAAATAATAAAACTAAAACCTTTAAATATGGTATAGCTTCAAAAATATACATTGATTCATGAACTGTTATTTGAAATTTTTAAATTTCCTGTTAAAAGTGGCCCACTTATTTTTGTCATTTTTTGTGTGTGTGTTCTAAGATATTGAGGTAGGTGACTAGGTCTTAGGATGCTGTACAGGAGTAGCTTATGTCTACTACTCTATTTTCTATTTATATCACTGATGTTTTGAAATTATTGAAACATTTTTATGCAATGTATAAGAATTTGTATCAGAAATAACTACTGATGGGTTTCAAAAAATCATCTTAAGGCAGATTTGCGGGAAATATTATTTGAACACTGGTCTATTTTTATCCTGTCTTTTCTTAAACTAATGATAGAATAAATTTAACAAAATATAACAAAATATACAAATAAAAATTCAGTTATATGATTAAAAAACCATCAGCATGGCTAGCAGTATTTAACTGAATGAGTCTTGAATATTATCTACTCTCAAACTATTTTAAAATGAAAACATGTATTTTGTTGTCTTATTTGTTGATTTATAAGTAAATATCCACCATGTTTAATGGTGTGAATCTCTAGAATACCTTTGTGAGCTTCTAAGACTTCATAAATCACCAGTTTAAAATACTGACATAAGTCAAAGAGAAAACAGGATTTTGATACAAAGAAATTAGAAGCCAAATTTGTGGCCATAGTTTTCAAGTGCATAGGGCTGAATGTCATATGCATTATTATTAAACTTATGCCATTTCATCCTTTACTTCTCTACCATTTTTCTTTTGTTCCAATTTTCTTATTTATTTTTATGTTCCTATATTTATATACATGTATCTTCAACTTCTCTTGGAAATTGGGAATGAGGACGATTTCATTGGTAAACATTTATTGAAGTAGAGTTTGGCATTTTTCTTAAATGTAGGAAATCTATATTCAGGTTTTGGAAAAATTGGCATTCTAAGTAAAATCGTATCACATAGTATGATTTTACTTAATTGTATTAACATTAAACTTTATTTCAAGCAAGTTAAAATTAATGTTAGAATTACAGAAATGATTATTCTAATGTTTTCCAGCTGCTGATAGGTTATGAAAATGGTACTGTAGTATTCTGGGACTTGAAATCTAAAAAAGCGGACCTGAGAGTTTATTATGATGAGGTAAGTGGCTCTACTGAACTATATGAAGAGTATGATGACTTTGTGCCTGTCTTCTACTTGTAAGCTTTGTACATTGCCAATATTTTTATCATTAAATAACTGGTTCTGACTCAGTGTCTCACATTGCCTGTTGGCATTCGCCCAAGTTCCAACTCTGAGTTGTTCTCCTGAATGAGAATTCTGCCTTGACTAACTGTTTTGGGTCCCTTTTTGGCATCTTATATTACCTATCCTTTTCCTTCCATTAAATTACATTAAGTCATGTCTTGCCTCATTGTCCTTAAGATCTCTAAATACACTCTTCAGAAATTCTTTTTCTGTGGCAGATAATTTAAGAGGTCAGTTTGAAAGGCCTTATCATGTAATACTTGCCTTCTCAGAATAAAGATTGATTTTGTAAATGGTAATATTTAATAATAAGGGTCAGTAAGGTCTTAAAGTGAGTTTTATTGTACATAGCTGAGATTTAATTTGGCTTTCATTTAGAGAAAGCAATGAATTGCTATCTATCAGCATATAGTCTTTGAATTGATACTTTAGTTGTTCAAAGATTAATTCTAGGCCGTTAATGATTTCCCCCTTCAGAAGAAGCTAATGTGAAGATAAGCTGGGACAAAAAAGTAAAAAAAAGGGTAATTACCTCTTGTAGTTGTGGGAATAAAGGTGATCATGTAAGCTCTCTATTCAATTTTAAAAAATGGTAGAGTAGGGAGAGATAGGAAAATACAGGTCCATATTCGTTATCTGGTATTACCTGCACTTACATGGGGAAAATGCAGAAGAATTTAAAGCAACACTGATATAAATAGAAAGGAAATTTTAAAAATCACATTTCTTTGTATGCTATCACCCATCCCCTTGTAACAGTTGAATGTTTAAGTTTTGGTGCTTAAACGTGTAAGCCTTTGGCTATGTCATAACTACACTCATAACTACCCCCCAATTCATTTCTTAGTAGTTCTGGCAAACTAAGATTTTATCATATATACAAGGTAATTGTCATAGTGACAAAGACTTCAGTGGTAAATGATATAGCAACTGGGTCATGATTGGTGAAAAATACTTTGTCAGGTAATGTCATATAATTATGCTCTTTATGATCAACCTCTAGGGCATCTTGAATCATGACGAAAGAAGGCCCTAGGGAGTTAAGCTACATTTTCCTTTTATTAAATATACAAAATATAAAGATAAGTTTAGATATTGCTCCCTCTCTCAAGACTAGTAACTAGATAAGAGTACAAATATTATCTGAGTAGTCAGTTGGAAATAGAGTAGGCCATCTAAAAAGGAAATCCAGAGGAATATGCTAAATCAGCTAGTTATTTTTTTAAGGCCTAAAACAGTATAGAAGGAAGACTTCTAACCTTAAAAAGTGAACAAAAGTAATTTTTCAATTAAGTGTTTAAATAAGCATTAGCAATGTTTAAGTAGAGTACCATTTGGCTTTACATCAGGCCCTCCTTTTTTCTTTTTTTAAGATTTTATTTATTTATTCATGAGAGACAGAGAGAGAGAGAGAGAGAGAGAGAGAGAGAGAGAGAGAGACAGGCAGAGGGAGAAGCAGGCTCCATGCAGGGAGCCCGACGTGGGACTCGATCCTGGGTCTCCAGGATGACGCCCTGGGCCAAAGGCAGGCGCTAAACCACTGAGCCACCCAGAGATCCCCAAGCCGTCCTTCTTAAAATAGTTTCTTCCTCTATGTCTTTCTACCTCATTCTACGCGTCTCCTTTCTCCATCACTGATTCTTTCCCTGCTTTCCTTTAAATTACAGATACTCTTCAAGATTTTATGTCTTCACCCTCTTCATTTCACCTCTAGTTTACATTTATATTTATATCTTCTCCCATTTCAAATATCAATTTTATTCTAATAAATTTAAATCTATATATATATATTCATTCCATATATATATATACATATATATTATATAAGCCCAGATAAATATCTCATTGGCCCTGAATTAACATTTAAAGACCTAAACGTTGTTCTTTGTTCTCCTTTTCAGTTTTTAAATTTTGATTATTTTTTCCAGTCTGTAATCCTCAGAGTCATATTTGATCCTTCTTTATATATCATATGCGATCCATTTTATAGACTCTTAATTCTGTTTTAATACTGCCTTTCATTCCTCTTTTTTTTCATTCCCACATTCAATGTTCTAGTCTAAGTTTTTATCTTTTGCCTGGAAGACTATGGTAGCCTTTTTAACTAATTGCATTTCCTCTGATATCTTACCTTTTCAGTATATCTGTCACTAGTAAGAGTATCGTTTTAAGACAGATCATGTATCTCTTTACCGCAGAACCTTTGAATGGCTCCCAATTATCAACAATACAAAGTCTTTATTCCTTTACATGAGATTCAAGGCCCTGATGTTATCTTTTCTTAAGTTTAATTCAGTGTATCCTTCCACACACTCCTCACACCTCAGACATATTACTGTCTCCTAAACATATCATTTATTTCCTACCTTCAAGTGTTTGCTCCAGCTAATTCCTTATCATGAACTCCCTTCTTTCCTCTCTTGCATATCAAAATCCAATTTCCTTTTTAGCCACTATAAACTATTTGGACTACTAAGTAGCCCCTTGAATAGCCATGGATGAATTGAAAGATTTGTAAATCCAGGACAATTTTTAGAAATAACTATATGAATTTACATATTAGCTGTGAAATTTTTGTTTTATTATATCAATATTTCTAAATAATCTCTCACAGAAAAAACCCTCAGAATTTGACATAAGGATAAACTTTTAATTCCTTGAGTAGCTGCTGTTTTTCCTTTTTTTCATATGGATACCCAACTTTTTGGGTTTCCTTTCTCTTCTGTTTTGGAGAAACTCAATCACAGCCACTGAGTTGACCGAACTAGCTAGTGCTTTATCTTCCATATTTTGCTTTCTATCTTTTAAAATTCTTCTTGAATTGATTGTAATTTTTTGTTGTTGTGTTTTTGTTTTGTTTTTAGTAAACCTTTAAAGTACTTTTTAAAGAAAGGAGTCAGGTATGATGAAATTAATTGAATTGGATACTTATCCATTAAATCCATTCAAATGCCAGCTCTTTAGTAATGCACTATTTGACAGTCTCTAATAACAAGCTGGTTTTATATGCCTACTCTTTTGTACAATAAGCATACTTATGGTACTTACTTATTTTGCTCTTGTGTTGTAGCTGTTCTTTTTCTATTTGTCTTCCCTAGTAGGTAGAAATTCAGTAAGACAGGAAAAAGGCTTAGGGCTGCCCACACTGTTCGTAGCAAAGCAGTCTGAGAGAACTTTAAATTGACTGAGATTCAAGTTAACACAAGAGGCCTGAAGTGGCATTTCCCTTGAGCCACCTACAAAAATGAGAATAAGCAAAGGAGATGATGAGTGTTTCCTCTGTCTCTCTTGAACTCTGGCAAAAAAAAAAAAAAAAAAAAAAAGTCTTTACCTAGTAACGAAGAGCATAGTGAGAGAAATCACCTAAGTCTAGAGTTTCATGTTATCTTTTTTATTTAATTGAATCTTACTTATCTTGAGGTACAGCTCTCATCCTACATCCTTTATGTTATGTCTAATGATTACTCTAGCTATCAATTATCTGTAACTCTAATAATACTTATTATTTTGAAAACAATAGTTTTAAACACATAAACCTTAGTTTAGTATATAGTATATATATACATAATTTAGTTTTCTATATAAAACTAAATGTTTAAAGTCCCAAACAATAACTATTATTAATATTCATTTATTTCCATTTTCTCTATCTTGCAGTTTTGAAAGTTCCTTTAAGTAAAGGATAATGTTGTATACATCTGTTCAGGTTTATGTCTACTAGAGCTTCTCTCTTTGTGCTTAGCACTTTACCCAAAGCCCATGTAAACTTTATGATTTACAAAGAATACCAGCGTGTGGAAATATGTGACAACATTAATTATTCATTCAAGAGATATTGAGTATCTACTCTATGTCAGGCACTGTGCTACCACTGGGAATAAAACAATATATGAAAATGGAATAATTAATTTTTAATTTTATGTAATTCACATCTTCAGAATAAACTTATAAATTAAAAAAATTTGAACCCTTCTTGCTTAAACTCTATATTGCCAAGTTAATTTAAATAGTGTATATTAGAGGCAATATGGTAAAATGATTGAGAATATGGGTTCTGTAGTTAGATAGACCTTGGCTTTGAACTGTGTGACCTAAGCATGTATATCAGCTTCTGTAGGCATATTTCACTATGTGCTAATTGGAAAAAATAATACCTGCTTTATAAAATTAATAGATTTAATATAAATAGTTTGCCAAGGGGTCTGGCATATAGTAAGCTCTCAGATGGTAGCTCTTAATGTAAAATATTATTTAAATTGGCTACTTTAAGTGGAATAAGCCTCTACCTTTCCAGAAGTTATCTTCTGATAACCTTGCTTTTACTTCTATGTAAATAATTTTTCAAAGGAATGTATAGGATACAGAGAGGATATAGAATTTACAACAAAAAATTCTCGGCTATAATGATATTATGAAATCTATTTAATTAACTTTTCTCTATCTCAGGAGATTAATTTTTGTAGTCTTCTGTAAGCCTATAGAGGATTGAAATGGAAGATAGTATGATATGGGTCAGAAAAATTATGTATATTTCTTAAGTATTGTTGTAATAATTTTATCTACGAATATTTTCCCTTTGGAATATAGAGTGCTATAATATTAAACTTTTTCCCCCTCTACTTGTTTTTAATTGCTATTTCATTAGGCTATTCATTCAATTGATTGGCATCATGAGGGCAAACAGTTCATGTGCAGCCATTCCGATGGTAGCTTGACCTTATGGAACCTGAAAAGCCCAAGTCGTCCTTTCCAGACCACAATTCCACATGGTAAGGTGTATGCTTTCAAAGAAATTAACTTTGGAGAAAGTGCCTTGACTTGAAGTAGGACATGTGGTATCAGTGAGTTTGGAAGAAAGTGATAAGATGTATCTTCTGATTCTAAAGACCTCTTTATGTCTTCTTCAGTTCCCAACGTTATACCTCAAACTTTCCGTACTTTCCCTCTCCCTATATATCTACTTTCCTACTTTGTGATACTTATATAAAGACCTTTCCAACCAAAAATAGGATAATGGATAGTTGATGTATCTGAAGCAGAGGATATAATGTAGGAAATTTGGCCAGTCTTAAGGGTTAAGGAGGTAGTGAGGATGACATTATTAGATCTGACTTTCATACTTTGTATACTGCTTTATAGTTTGTCATTTTCTAGATTCTCTCATTTATTCCAATTTCTTCCATTTGATTTCACTAAATATGAAAAATTTGGTTTTTATTGTAGATTGTATTTCTTATTATCTTCCTTATCAAAAGAAAATATTGGAGGTATATGTTCTACCTGTCTCCCTAACTGGGCAGAATAAAAAGTTCAAATGAATAAATATCTTTTATTCAGAAGATCATATTATTTCTGAGAATACTGGTGGTGATATGGGTTCCATACTTACCTTATATCATTGGTTGTTCTAGGAATAGAGGGGTCAAAACCTGGCAGTTAGTGAAACACATTCTCTTTTTTTTTAATTTTTTTTAATTTTTATTTATTTATGATAGTCACAGAGAGAGAAAGAGAGAGAGGCAGAGACATAGGCAGAGGGAGAAGCAGGCTCGATGCACCCGGAGCCCGATGTGGGATTCAATCCCGGGTCTCCAGGATCGTGCCCTGGGCCAAAGGCAGGCGCCAAACCGCTGCGCCACCCAGGGATCCCAGTGAAACACATTCTATTTTATAGTTTCTGAGCATTTATTATAGTGTCACATTTAAAAAAATTAGTCATATTTTTTATAACTGGTGATATAAAAATGGAATTATTCCATATTGTGTTAGTCTGCCCTTTTTTGCACCACAGTTGCATGCTCCATCTTCAAATGATTAAGTTATTACAACATTTAACCTAGCAGCTTAAAGGTTTTTTTTTTTAATAAATAAATTTTTCTTGGTGTTCAATTTACCAACATACAGAATAACACCCAGTGCTCATCCCATCACGTGTCCCCCTCAGTGCCCGTCACCCATTCACCCCCACCCCCCGCCCTCCTCCCCCTCCACCACCCCTAGTTCGTTTCCCAGAGTTAGGAGACTTTATATTCTGTGTCCCTTTCTGATATTTCCCACACATTTCTTCTCCCTTCCCTTATATTCCCTTTCACTATTATTCATATTCCCCAAATGAATGAGAACATACACTGTTTGTCTTTCTCCGATTGACTTACTTCACTCAGCATAATACCCTCCAGTTCCATCCATGTTGAAGCAAATGGTGGGTATTTGTCGTTTCTAATGGCTGAGTAATATTCCATTGTATACATAAACCACATCTTCTTTATCCATTCATCTTTCGATGGATACCGAGGCTCCTTCCACAGTTTGGCTATTGTGGACATGGCTGCTAGAAACATCGGGGTGCAGGTGTCCCGGCGTTTCATTGCATCTGAATCTTCGGGGTAAATCCCTAACAGTACAATTGCTGGGTCATAGCGCAGGTCTATTTTTAACTCTTTAAGGAACCTCCACACAGTTTTCCAGAGTGGCTGCACCAGTTCACATTCCCACCAACAGTGTAAGAGTGTTCCCTTTTCTCCACATCCTCTCCAACATTTGTGGTTTCCTGCCTTGTTAATTTTCCCCATTCCCACTGGTGTGAGGTGGTATCTCATTGTGGTTTTGATTTGTATTTCCCTGATGGCAAGTGATGCAGAGCATTTTCTCATGTGCATGTTGGCCATGTCTATGTCTTCCTCTGTGAGATTTCTCTTCATGTCCTTTGCCCATTTCATGATGGGATTGTTTGTTTCTTTGCTGTTGAGTTTAGTAAGTTCTTTATAGATTTTGGAAACTAGCCCTTTATCTGATATGTTATTTGCAAAAATCTTCTCCCATTCTGTAGGTTGTCTTTTAGTTCTGTTGACTGTATCCTTTGCTGTGCAAAAGCTTCTTATCTTGATGAAGTCCCAATAGTTCATTTTTGCTTATTTTACATTCACGCATTTAGTTTGAGATGCTTCCATTTAAAGATCGCCATTATGGAAACCTTGCAATAGGTGTTGCTATACATCCCACTCAGGTAGAATTATTTGTTTCTATGATGAGTTTACTTCCTCTCCACACCCCCTACCCCCATTCCTTTTGCCTTTTATTTGTATGTATGTAATATGAATTACTCAAAAATTTTCTACTTCTATTCATCTCAACAGTCAGCTTCTATACAAGTTCTTTTTGGCTCCATTGGATATTTGGTACTTTCATGTTTCACCATATCCGTATTTTTCACGTTGATTTGTTGTCTATGTAGTTGACCCTTGAACCATATGGGGGATGGGGCACTGATCCCTGTGCAGTTGAAAATCCTCATAAAACTTTTGACTCCTCTAAAACTTATCTATTTATGGCCTGCTGTTGATTGGAAGCCTTACTGATAAACACAGTCATTTAATACATATTTTGTATGTTATATATATATATATATATATATATATATATATATATATATATCATATACAGTATTCTTAAAGTAAGCTAGAGAAAAGAAAATGTTAAGGAAATCATAGGAAGGGATGCCTGCGTGGCTCAGTGGTTAAGCATCTGCCTTTGGCTCAGGGCGGGATCCCAGAGTCCAGGGACTGATTCCCCGCATCAGGCTCCCCGCCGAAGGGAGCCTGCTTCTCCCTCTGCCTATGTCTCTGCCTCTCTCTCTCTCTCTGTCTCTCATGAATAAATTTTTTTAAAAAAGAAAACAAAATCATAGGAAGAAAAAAATACATTTATAGTACTATACTTATTTTTATTTTTATTTTTTTCAAAAATTTTTTTTTAATTTTTTTTTTTTAAATTTATGATAGTCACAGAGAGAGAGAGAGAGAGAGAGAGAGGCAGAGACACAGGCAGAGGGAGAAGCAAGCTCCATGCACCGGGAGCCCGACGTGGGATTCGATCCCGGGTCTCCAGGATCGCGCCCTGGGCCAAAGGCAGGCGCCAAACCGCTGCGCCACCCAGGGATCCCGATATACTTATTTTTAAAAAACCTATTCCTTTGAATTAGTGTTTTTGTATTCTTTGGCTAAATACCAAGTAGTGCAATTGCTGGATCATAGAATAGCTCCATTTTTAATTTTTTGAGGAAACTCCATACTATTTTCCAGAGTGGCTTGAAACTAATATTTCAAGCCGCCTGAAACTAATATTAACAGTGTGTGTTAACTAACTGGAATTTGAATACAAATTTTAAAAACTCTGTGTATAAGTGAACCCACACAGTTCAAACCCATGCTGTTCAAGGGTCAACTGTCATTCTATTTTCCTGTTGAAAGAGATGAAATTCTGGTCACAGGTTGCTCAAAACATCAGCATCTGTGTCTCATAACATATAGATCAAGTTAAATTCCTGCTGCCTCACCACGATTTGAAGCAAACATCAGTGATTTTGACATATTCTTCAGTTTCATCTGTTAGATTTCATTTCAACTATTTTTATTTAATTTCTCTAAGTAGTACTTTAACTGTATCCTATAGTTTTTATTTTAATTTTATTAAAAATATGTAATTTTCATTAATATTCAGCTTATTTTCTAATTTCTATAAAAATTTTCCTTTGACCTATGAGTTAGATATTTGTTATTTAATTTCTAAAAATATGTTTTGTTATAGATTTTTAAATTAATTGTAGTCAGAGACTGTGGCATGGTACTAGTTCTACAAAATTTACTGTGATTTACTTTATAATTAGACATACACAATTAATTACATAACATTCCAAGTATGCTTGAAAATAATGTACATTTCCTGTTACACAAAGGTCCAACTTGAAATTGTGGGGGTTTTTGCACTATAAACCTTTTCTTAGTTTTTGTTGTTTGATTTTTCAATTTTGAGAGAGGTAAGTTAAACTATTATAATGGATTTTCCTTGTAATTCTGTTCCTTTCTGCTCTATATACTTTAAAAATCAAGGAGGTCAAAGTTGTTTATAAGCATTAATCAGATCCTCTGCTTTTACTAATATTTGACTAGTGCTATCAATTTCTGAGAGTGGCATTAAAATTTCCTAAAAAATATAGAATTATATACTTTTCACTTTATTTCTGTCCTTTTTGGTTTCATGTATTTTTGAGGCTTATTAGGCATCCATATGTCTTTATAGAGAGCATATATTTGGGTTTCTTTTATTCAGTTTTATATCATTTAGTTGAAGTGTTCAGTCTATTAATATCAATGTAACTACTGATGGAATTGAATTTAGGTATACCAAGTTACTATTTGTTTTCTGTTGGTCCGAACTTTTGTGGTGGTGTCCTTTTTTTCTCCCCTTTGTGCCTTCTGGATTATTTGAAAGTTTTTATTAGAATATAATTTTAATTTACATATAGGCATTTTATCTTCAGACGTTCTTTTCCCCTAACTTTTCAGTCTATTGCAGTTAACAATGTAGCACTTCACAAAAAAGTGGAGAAGCTTCACAATCATATATATATGTTTACTTTTACAATAGGTATATGTATTACTTTTAAATACATTGTTAGAATTAAGGAAAATATTCTTTTGTATTTAATTTATAATTTATCTTAATATAATTTTATATTTATGAATTTTTATAATTCCATTTGTTCTTGAGGATTATAGGAACATCATTTAGCATTTCACTTAGCTTTCCTTTATCTAAAAATTCCTCCTTTTGGCTTTTATTTTTTTTTAAGATTTTATTTATTTATTCATGAGAGACACACACACCGAGAGAGAGAGGCAGAGACATAGGCGGAGGGAGAAGCAGGCTCCATGCAGGGAGCCCAATGTGTGGGACTCCATCCCAGGACTCCAGGATCACGCCCTGAGCC